GTTAATTTTTACGGCCCTTGACACCCCATCTTTCTGCAGAAACACATGTTAGTGATCTCTCCGGGCGGCTCCAGCCTCTCTCTGAGCAGCAGAGCAGAGAGGCTCTGACAGGAGATGAGTGCAGGCAGGACAGAGGAGCTGTAAAAGCCTCCAGGCTCAGGAGCTCTAACTCAAAGTGCTAAACTGAGGTGTGAACATCTTCAGATCTTCAGGCACCAGCTGCACATGTTGCTTTAAGATGAGAAACTTCTGGCTGTTCTGAGAAGCCAAACAGACTTTGTTTTCCAAATGTTTGGTATGTTTGAGCAGCTTTACGCCTCACTAGAGTTGACTCTTGGATTTTCCCAGTTCCAGCTTCTATCTGGGTGTTTGTGAAAGAAGAACAAGCGTGTTTGTGGACACACTGAGACAGACGGGCTCATAGCTTTCCTTTAGACTCTGTTATAAAAACACTGCAGCTCCTCAGTACGTGTAATCATCAGATCATGTACGTTTGATACATCAGTGTTTCCCCTACCATTATACAAGGGGGTGCCCCTCACCTCCCCCCCACCAACGAGACGGCCCGCCCCTCTAAGAATTTCACAGCATGTAGTCATTTTTATTTAAATAAGGCCAGAACAAGTCGAGAGCTATTTTAGCACCCCTCCGTATTCACCTCTCGCCAAACTTGGGGGGGTCCTGAGCGAGACTGAGTGCTGTGTGGTCCTCACAAAGATAGAAAGACACGCACACGTGTGTGTGTGTGTGTGTGATTAGATACGTGAGGAAAACTGCTTTTTTAATCACGTAGCACCGATGCGACAGCTTTGTAAGCTACTTTTTCTTTCTTTAAAATAAAATACAACAGGTGAAGCCACAGCATGGTTACCTTATCAATAATGACTTTATAGATTACAGCAAGAACCACCAACACAGACCTGTGTGTGACCAGGTTCCCGCGAGCAGGGTTTGACAAAATCTATTGCCCGTCTGCCCAGGGCAGGTAAAACCCATATTCGGGCAGGTAAACTATTTCTTCAGTTTTTCATAGGGCCATTTATTCAAAATATTCTGAAACAAATGAAGAAATATAGTGTTTTAAAACACGTATAGAGAGAATAAATACTCAAATTTCCCCCTCCTCTGTAGAAAAGTTATGTCGTGTTGCAGGATTATTTCCTGCTACCTCCTGCTGCACGTCGTGCAGAGTGAAGCTTTAATAAATGTAGTTTTTTAACACCCAAGTTTTCAGAGAAAAAAACATGTTTTTTTTGTATTTTTACCCACAGAGATGATAAAAAGATGTGGACATTCGATCAGTCATTAATCCATCTTGTTACAGTCGATATCTGCTGAGTGCAGCAGCAGTGGGCAGAAGCTCACTGTATGGCAGGCCAATATTACATTTATTTGGCTTCATTTTGTTTTGTTTACTTATTGTTTAAACTTGGAGATCTTTCCAGCTTGAGCTTGTTTGTTTGTTGAAGTTTATTTTTAAAATAAAGGACATAAGATTTTTTTCACTCTGCACCTTTTTAATTCAGGGTAGTGTTTACTTTGTTTATTAATGCTGTACATATTGTTT